CAGTGTAAATTCAATATTCACAACTACCTGAATTTAATTCATGATGATATGAATGGCCCCAAGAGGCAGTGCGAGAACCTTGATGTACAGTGTCACCAAAACAGAGCTCTCTGATTTTATTCTGTGGAAGTCTCTTTTGTTTGTATCAGACACAATACCATGTGTCTATCACTTTGATTTTAGCTAGTTGCTGCCATCAAAAAGTGACTTCTTTTTAATGGCAGAATTACCTAGGCACACCAGACAAATTGGCTAGCACAAAGCTGCTTCATGTGAATTTAACTGCGTCCCTGTGGCACTGACACTTCTGTTTTCTTGGGAAACATATTCCCATTGGTAGATATCGTTCCTGTTCCTTATCTATAGACATATTTTAGTGTTTTAATTAGCCCAAAACTTTCTCTAGACTAGAACATAGTCCTATAGCTATGTACACATCTGTGAGATTTTTACTCCTTAACAACTTCATTTAACCCAAAGTCCCTCCAATTTGTCTAGTGCCCTAGACATCTGCTATTTTTACTCCCCACAACTGAAGCAAAAGACCCCGCTAAACACAACAGGAGATTAATTCATGTGAACATGTTCACAAAACAGCCCAGTAGATACTGAGAAAACAAAGGAAATTCAAGTCTGACTGTCACCATCCCTCATGGATCAGGCTTCAACAGATGAAGCTGCTTTTGCTTAGAGCTCTAGCCCAAAATAATTAGTGGGCTGTGATAATCTAAGTATTATGGTGGGCTGAACATTGCTTTGTGTACAATGAATTATTCTTTGTTTTCCTTTCAAACACTTTCAAATATCCATAGTGATTCTCACATCCGTGCTAGAAAATGAGTAATATGCTCTGTTTTGAACCTTTCTAGAATTCTGTATGTCACATAAAATCATCATTTTACACATTTCTTTCTTTTTTTTTTTTAATCTTATTTTCCCAAGGAAAATTAACTTAAACCAGAGCATTTCTGATCAAAAGAATAGGTATTTCTGATGTAAAGGAAGCTGCACTAGGATGCATTTTTGAAGCTATGCATGACCAGTTTTGCTTATCAGAAAGAAATTAAGCACCAAGAGCAAAGAAGCAGAAGTCTAGAAATTACATGTACTAAAGCTAAACACAGCATAATGTTAACAGCTTCATATTCTATTCTGAATCAAGGGTCTTCAGTTTTCAGATATTTTCTATGCTAGGTAAAATAAGCATGATCATAAAAAGGTGTTCTTACATATTGCATTATATTCTGCAGTAGATATTGGGTTTAAACATTATATATCTAATACTTCCAGAACAGAACTTTTTCCATAAATTTTTTATCTAGATGGTGCTACTGTAAAGGTGGTGAGGCACTGGAATGGGTTGCCAAAAGAAGTTGTGAATGCTCCATCCCTGGTGGTGTTCAAGGCCAGGTTGGACAGAGCCTTGGGTGCCATGATTTAGTGTGAGGTGTCCCTGCCCATGGCAGGGGGGTTGGAACTAGATGATCTTAAGGTCCTTTCCAACCTTAAGTATTCTATGATTCTACTTAGTAGCTGACTCTGAACACATACTTGGTTTACTTTATGTAGTTCTACCGACAAGTTGATGTGTCCCCTATTACCTGAATGAGATGCTGCTTTAAGGACACTTTATTTCTATTTCAAGATGCTTTCTGTCTCTGTAAGACTCTTTCCAGTACTCACTGGTATTGATTAACTCCATAAAAAGCTTTTCATGTACATGTTCTTGTATTGCTGCATAGTGCTCAGCAGTCTCTCTGATCTCTTTATCCCTGTTAACTTTTCCAAAGTTCTCAGCGTAGAAACAGAAGTAACTCTATGCCCTTCAGTGTGACCCAGAGATAGCAAGACAGACTTTTTCCACTGTCTCACTCAAGGAATATTGCAGAGGGGATGTTGAATAATGCTTGCAACAGCTTTTACTGTAGCTTGCTGTTATTTTGGGGCATTCATTCCTGGTCATAATGTGCAGCATAGTTAAGCATTAAAAAAAAAATAATTCATAAAGCGGCATGGATAGAATCTAGTAGCTTTTCACTACTAGGGCAAACATTTTGTAGTAATTGGGGAACATACTGTGTGAGGTCAGTATCACACGTGATTAAAGTCTTCTCTCCCTGGCAAACTGATGTGCATCTCTGAACGTCCTACCCAAGATCAGGAGGCCAAATAAACTGAGCCACCTCTGCTTGATAAACCTGCTCTATTACCTAGGCCATTATCAAATAAGAGACTAGATTTGCTATCTTAGGGTGAAAGAATGTGATTTAAGTAGATACTGGTAATGGAGAACAGCCTTTCCTTTATTGTTTGAGGAAAAAATGCAGATAAATCTATGTGTGCTTGCAGTGATTGTATGTGGTGCACTAAATAAAGCACATGAACACTGGAGACTCATAGATCAGTATGGTGTGATTTCTTTACTGAATCAGGACTCCATCACTGTACTACTCTGCATTTGCTTCCTGTAGCAGGAAGTTTTTAACTTAGCATTCAGCAGCTTTGGGCTCAGGAGGGACATTTCAGCTCTAACGGGCTGAAAACATCATGCTGCTGCATCTAGTTCATGCTAAAATTTTTGCAATGGAAAATGTTGATATAATAATTGACTGCTGTTTCAGCAATTTGTTCTTTCTTGGTGAATTGCATACGAGTGTTTTGAAGTTGTTTATTTTAGTTCTTCCTAAGCTTTTACAAGTTTGCATTTGTTTTCAGAACTAAAATCAAGTATCTTTATACAAATCAAATTAGCAATTTGGCATGTGAAATTTTCCTCACTCTCATTTGCTATTAGGGCACAACAAAGACAAGAAGATGGAGAAAAAGTGTGTTTCCAAGTGCTGAACCACACAGTTTGGATTTGGACTATTTGAGAGAAACAGAGCCACTGTGAACCTCTTTTGGGTTGACTACAACCTAAAAATAGTTCTGGTCTCATATAGCTATTATTCTGAAAAGAATAGCAAAGATTTATCACTGCTATACTGATTTTCATCTTGAATCATCTGTATAGATGTTAAGCAATTAATTCCCATCACAATGAGATCAAATTAACGTCAACTTCATTCTGTCACTGCGCAAACTGAGTCCCAGGTCAGGTGTTCCCCACTCTCCCCGTATTGTGTTCAGGACTCTCTGAGTTATCTCAGATTGCTTACTAAAGTCATCCTTTAAGATCAAGGTGTTGCAAGATCAATACTAGATAATGTTCTTTGCTATTAGCCTGAGCTGCTTTTTCTGTTTCCCAGAACTTACTAATGTGATGTTGTATAGAGGTCATCCTTTTGCCAAACTGCTGAATAATCCAGCAGGGAGCAGAGCCGAGTTCCCTCTCCAGATGCAGAAAAACAAAAGTAAAAGTCACTTCTAAGGATACAGATGAGAAGACTATGTTCACTTTTGTCCCCTCGACATCAAAAATAACAGCAAGTTGGAGAATATTAAGTGAGGAGCAACAAAAGCAATTCAAGGTGTGAAGAGATGGATGTTGGTAGTAAAATAAAAAAAATAATACCATTGTTGAGATTTTCTGATTAAAAAGGCTTGGGGTTTTGGTTTTTGTGGGTTTGGGGTTTTGTTTTGATTTGTTTTCTTTTGTTTTGTTTTTAATGCACCTTGCAATGGCCACCAGATGAGCTGGAAATTAGTTTCTGCAGATATCGTTCTTTGTTATTCCATTTTAACTCAGGTGACTTCAGCTAAGAAATAAAATCTAGGTCTTACTCACTGACACTGCAACAACTCATAGGTTTTATCTAAGTAAAACCTCTACTAGCTGAGCAGAAATCAAGCAGTAATGATTGTGCTGCATGTTTCAAAACTGGGCCAGTTTTATTTTTCTGTCTTGATAGAAATAAATATATTTAAAATATCCATGTACAGCCTACAAGTATGTTGAAGATATACACAAAGAAGTTAGGGGAATTTTTGCAAATGATGTAATTTAGTTTAAGCTCATTATTTTCCCACATGCTCAAAAAAAAAAAACAACAAACCACACCATGAATGGACAGAGCAGAACTTCAAGGCTGGGACCTGCATACATTGTTTACAGCTGCTATTCACATAGTTACCAACCTTGTGTGATATAAATGACCCTAGGCACTGCCATCTCCTTTGTCCTTCTACTATCATTTTAGGTAGGAAATTGCCAAGTAGGACACTTGTGTAGATTACATAATTTTGTCCCAGTCATAAATAGGACAAACACAGGAGTCCCTTTTAAAACCCTCTTCATGATGACTTTTTTCATCTGTGTCGCTCTATCTGGGGAGCTACTTGCTTTCATTGTTCACTAGGGTTGGGTGTTTTTACTTTTTCTCCAAATTTTTTTGTGTTTCTTCTTTGTGCCTCTTAAGGCCTCTTAAATTTATATGGATTTATGTTTGAATGACATTTAGACCTCTGGAACAAAGGATTATGCTTTATTATGAAAAAGAGTTTCCTTCCAGGGACCCCACCATTTTGTGTTACCAAGTGTTTCATAGTCATGATGTTTTGGTCTTCCTTGCAAGGAGGGCTTTAATTCCTGAAGCAGAATCAAGCCTATGGTGTTAACATGTCACACTTCAGCTGGGTTCATCTGACTCCTGCTTCTCTTTGCCTTCTGCTTTACCTGTCTTTGTGCATTTGCAGCATGGCTTAATGCCTTCTGTGTCCTCCTGTGGGCTCTGCCTTCCACTCAGGGCAGGGAGCAGGGTGGAGGAAGCAGCCTCTGCTGCAGCTGGATGCAAGAAGGACCCCTGGGATGGCACATGCTCCAGCTGCAGCATCTCCTCCCACCATCCTGCAGCCCAGGATCTAACCCAATACACTGGGAGAAAAGAAGTTTGCATTTTGAAGCAAAGTTCTGCATCTCTCAACAAGTCCAACCTACCTGGCCTGGCAATCACTCCTGTCTGTTTCTCATGGATAGATAGTTATTGCTTCAATGTAGATATCATGTCCCAGTACAGCCTTTCAGTGTTGTGCCCACAGGTGTTTTTTTTCGCTCTTTGCAGGGATATGTAGTTGATGAACATGCAGCCATGCAAGCTCGATGGGAAGAGGCATCTAGAGAAACAATCAAGAAGACAACTAAGCCATGCCCCAACTGCAATATTCCAGTAGAGAAAAACGGTAAATTTATTAGATATTTCATTCTTAACTATCTTTTAAAATTCTTTTTATAATATCAATGTATGAATGTTCATACGTACACACGCACACTATTATTCCAAAGAATGCCTGTCACTTTAACTAAACTATCTTGAAATCACTACATCTAAATCACGTAGTTCTAAAGCCACTACTTAAGCCTCGTAAAATGTCCTCTGTTTTATAGCTAAGGAAAATGAGGCATTAGAGAGACACTGGATGTAGCATTCATATGACTGAATATTCATCTAGTTGTCTAGATTTTTCATTGTCACTGTAAAACATAGACATTTGTAGGGTAAAACTCATCTCAATGAAACAGAATGCGTGTCTAGTGTAGGCCATAAGAATTGTACCTAAAAGTGGGGTGTGATAATTAGTCCAGCTGCAGAATTCTACACAGTATATAGCTGAGTTTAGATGAGATTAATCTCAACCCAGTGACATGCCCATAGTAGAAGAACAAGTTAGAGGAAGAAACATGAACTCTGCCAAACTGATTGCACTAGTCAATGCTTACTATGTAGGAACATAAGCAATCTACTGGCACTTGGGTGGTTAAAATGGGGAAAAGGAACCCTAAAGGTTCATACTGTTCCAAAATTTAATTGTATTTATGTTAATTAAAATATACCCAAATTATTGCCTATATATAATGGAAATATTAAGTATGGAGGATGCCTCTCAGTTTTGTGGCATTTACTCCAGTGGGATGCTGAAAACACCAAGTAAGACACTGTAAACTGCAAGAACACTTCAAATAGTGATACCACAGTAATATTACTGAGGAAGAAATAGGACAAAATCCTGAGATCTAGGGTTTGATGAAAGAAGAGAAGGCAGTTGGCAGATGGAAAGTGGGAGACTTCTTCAAGCACAAGAAGCAGAAGGAAAGAAAGCATGAATTCAAGAGTGGGAAGGTGAGACAAGATTTGGCAAAGTGTAGAGAGCAAGGTAGGCAGCAGAGGAGAGATAACAGAGGGGTAGGTCAAAAAAATTACTTACAGGCTTGTAAAACAGGCTGGAAAACAGAAGTTGAACTGGATTAGAAACAGACAAATAATAATCCTGAGTTTTCATACTTAACAGTTTGTGTGCAGCCAAATAAAAAAGACTTCTGGACAGACTTGAGGCAGTACTTTACCTTCCCTTGGACTCTACTACAAAATCTTTACTGTTAAATTTCAGGAGGTTGTCACTTATCACAAACAGGATATCCCTATTTGACACCATTTACACAACTCCCACTAATGTTCAGAGAAGTTGCTTGTAAAATCCCCAGTGTATCAAAAAGGAAATAAAGGCCATTATACTTTTTATCTTTGAAAGAAAATATTTACTGAAAACGGATAATGAGCAGGAAAAGACCTTTGCTTGCTTATACCCTGATCCATGTCAGAACAATGCCTCATAATGCAAAATGCCAAAGCCACAACAGTTTCAACACAATGGAATCAGTCGATTGTGCTGCCATTTAGAGTGACCTTGACAGACTGGGAAATGGGCTGAGAGAAACCTCATGAAGTTCAATAAAGTGAAATGTACCAGTACAGGTTAAGGGCCAAAAGGATGGAAAGCACCCGAGTGTCCTGGTGGACTGCATGTTGGACATGAGCCAGCAACATGCCTTTACAGCAAAGGTGGCCAGCAGCACCATGCAGGAAGAGCATGACCGGCAGCAGGTCAGGGAGACACGTCTACAGTGGTGGATCCAGTTCTGGGCTTCCCTGTACACAGACTGGAGTGAGTCCAATGGAAGGTTACAAAGTTGAAAAAAAGGACTGCAGAAATACCTGATGTGGGGAGCAAAGAAGACAGAGCCAAACTTTTCTCAGTGGTGCCCACTAAAAGGACAGAAGGCAATGGGCACAAACTGAAATGCAGGAAATTTCACTTAAACATAAGAAAATGCTTTTACCATGTGGGTGATTGAAGGCTGGAACAGATACCCCAGAAAGTGTCTCCATTCTAGGATATTTAAAACTCACTGCATGCAACCTTGATAACCCTTCTTTTGTTGTCTCTGCTTTGAGCAGTGGGGTTTGGACTGAATGATCTCTAAAGTCACCTTTCCCACTCCAGTGATTCTGTGATCTTGCGAATTAAGGAGTGAAGCTTAAAAAGTGCAGTGCTTGCTTTCTTCTCTGGTCATGGGTACTGCACGTGCCACCTTCTAGGCTGACATTTGTAAGCTGAAAGGATCACCTCACTCCTGCCTAAGTACAGCAGGTGTCAAGAGGCTGACAACTGTACACTATCTTCCAGCAGTCCTCATTTGGGAGGAGTACACTGAGTCCACACAAGAGAATAATTGTGTCTTCACTCCCCAAATGCTTCTGTGGACACTGTCTTTTACAAGGGACAGTGACGATGCCAATAACTTTTCTGTAATAGCCTATATTTCTCTATGTCAATAATTTTTCTATAATAGCCTGTATAGCTATAGGCATTGTAGAATACTTCAGTACACCAATAACATTTCTGTATTAGCCAAAGTGAAAGAGTGAAACACTTTCCCACTCTGAGTGAGTTTAAACACCCATCCATATCTCTCAGAGGACCGCTGTACCCACAAAGCTGTCAGCCATGCTGCTTGAGGCACTCTCCACTCTTACTGCTGATCTCAACTGCCGCGTAGCAGAGAATAACATGATTTATGTAGCTTAGCAGGTAGAGCACATATTTGACCACAAGGTACCCACAGGTCTCAGTCCTGCACCAGGACTGAGACGTATTTTACCCAGTGATTGCTTAATACAAATCAGAAGAGAAGATTGGACCTAAACCATAAGTAAAGTGTGACATGGAGGCTGGCCATTGGTACGCTTACATTTAAATAAGATAAAAATGTCTGGTGAATTGCATCTCTTAAAAAAAGATATAAATAGTTAAATAGACCATGCCATCACAGCTAGTTTTCTCTTTCTGTCAAATGAAGCAGGCAGGCCTAATTTAACAGACCAGTTCTTGTGTCTCCTGCTGTTTTTACCTTCTGAGGATCCTTCTGGATTGGTATTTATAAAAATGGTGGTGTAAGGGTAACAGGTCATACAGTCAGGAACAAGCACTCCCTGTACCTCCTATCACCATCTGGAGTCAAACCAAGATGACATTTCAGCATTTCTTCATACTCTATGCTTTTCTTTCAGTTTGAATTAGACAAGACATCTCTTTGTGTGGTAAGCAACATAATTTCCATTTGAAGTATATTTCTGTAATGACATTTGACAATGTTAATGTTTTATATATTACAAGATAAACATTTGATCAAGGTTGTGGGCAGAGATTAAAGCCGCTCTCACAGTATGGGCAAGTAAGAAATTCAGCACACAGGAAACACACGATCAAAAGACTGCTTCAGATACTAAGAAGGTCAAATCAACTTAAATTACTACTGTCATTTTGATATAATCAGAAGTCAGCCACCAAATTCTGTATCTCCTGATTTACTCTCTGCAAATCCCTAAATTGTTGAATCCAATTTCAAAAAAGAATTGCATTTTGTTCGCCTTCTGGCTCACAGCTGGACTAAGGTAGAGTATCCTTGAGGAGACACCTCCATGTCTGCTTTCAGAGGCCACAGACTGTCATCTCTTTTTGCTGACCCTAGTACAGTCATTTCTAATTTCCTCCTACTCCTGCAGTCCCTTAAGTGAGACCAACACATTACACCCCAATATGAAATGGAGTAGCAAGTTTTAGAAAGCTCAGGAAAAATATTCTTCAGGTTTGTACTTCTCTTTTATTAAACATTCTACTTAGTTAATAAATGAGCACCTAAGAAAGTTGATTTTCACACTGATAATTCTCAATTAAATTATCTAATTCTGTTGCTGTTTTGCAGGTGGCTGCATGCACATGAAATGTCCTCGCCCTCAGTGTAGATTTGAGTGGTGCTGGAACTGTGGCCTGGAGTGGAACAGAACCTGCATGGGAGATCACTGGTTTGACTAGTGGTGCTGAGGCCAGCCTGTGTTGCTGCGTAAAGCTTGTTTTCATCAGGGCAAACTTCTGAACCCCTTGCTTAAACGAAATTACCAGTGGTTTCAGGGTCACAGAGTTCAGAAGTTGGCCAAGTTTGTTGGTTTTTGCTTTCTTGCACATGCAATCATACCAAAATCGCATTGAAGTTTTTAAATCCACTAAGTAAAAAGAGTAACTGTTTTAATGGACAAACTTGCCCATTGTAGTACAAAGAGGGGTAAACTACACCTTTCTGGACTTACACAGTCTGTCTCATGGAGAGCAGACAAAGTTCCATTAGGAACTTTGCTTGACATTTACAGTTAGGAATCAACAACTCTTGCAAGAGACAGCAGCCTGTATATGTGTGTGTGAGTGTGTGTGTGTCAGCGGGGTTGGAGAGTGTCCCCTGCATCAGCTGTTTTGTCTTTGCCCACTCCTTTGCTCATTCAGCACGTTTTTTGATTTTGAGGCAGTATTTCTTAACAGCTCTTTTAGCACAGGGAAGACTGTGGCTCTTCAGTGTTTTCTCAGGGTTCCTTCCTAATTTTAACAGGGTTCCTTCTGTAGGGGTCTTGCTTTCTAGCCAAATTCTAACACAGAACATCCAGCTTTATGCAATACTTGTGCTTGTGTATTTCTAACACACCACACGAAACCTGCCTACATATTCAGTACAGACTTTGTTACCATTGGAAGACGAACTAAGGATGCAGTTTCAGTTCTAACCATGACCATTGTTGCAGTGGTTCTGATTAAGTGTTGTGCTTACAGCAGTACTTTGGACATGGCAAGGGGAGGCAGGACTTCTCAGGGGTTTTCCCTACCATCATTCTCCAAGTAGAATATGGTTGTATTTCTGAAAATACATTCACAGCTAAATACATTCACTGAGGGGCAGAAAGACATCTTTCATTTTACAATGTTAACACAGTAAGTAAAGCTTACTAGCATTTCCAAGCCTGAACAATCTTACTGTTTTACGTGCTTTACACACTGTCTATTCTGAAATGAAATGGATACTGTCCATATCCAACATGCCACTAAGGATTTGCACAATTCAGTTTTGAAAAACAAACAAACAAAAACAAAAGACAACACGATAAATGCAGTGGTCAAAATGTTAAATTTTATTTCCTTTTTCATTTGAATAAAAAGTGAGTACAAAGATGTTAGTCATGTATTTCATTGACTGATTTGAACTCCCAGCTAAGAAGCTAGCCCTTTGATTAAAACATACTATTAGCACACAATGAAGTCCAGGGCCATGGACTTCTTTTATCAACTTTGAATTAATATTTTATATGGCATGACAGTAGAGTCCTGAAAATACGGATGTGCCTGGTATCACTCAGTGCAGAGCAAGAAGCTTGAGGTATAAAGAAGTCCAGGCTTACTAAAAAATGTCCAATTGCAAAGAAGTGGAGTAGTCGACTATGTCAGCTAGGAGTGACATTAAAAGTCTGAGGAAACAAAAGGATGAAGGCATGAGGTACCAAAAGTGATCAGGCAGAATTAAGAAAATGAGAGGAAAGAAAGTGACAATGAGAGGACAATGGCCATTTCTTAAAGGTCATTTTCCTTTTTGGCACTGGTGAGCTAATATATATGCAGAAGTGGCTAGCTACATTAAAGTGCAGGGATGCAACAGAATGACTCAATCAATGTAGCTCATTTAAGTACATTATCTTAATAGCAGTATTTTACTGTGAGCCCTGATTATTCTATGGTTTGATTTCTTATACCTGGGTCTATTTTATAATTTATATGGCTTGTTGCCAACAGGCTAGGGACATAATCACAATGCTTAATTTTACTTTGATAGTGTGTTACTTAGGAGCTCATCACTATATTTCATATCCACAAACACTGGGAATAAAAGAAGTCTGAATCTTTTTTTTTTTTGTGTGTGTGTGTGTTTATGTCTGTCTGATTGTGGAAGAAAAACTCGTTCACTGTAAGGCAGTTTCACTGGGTTAAAGACTGCCCTAACAAGTCAATGTTTTAATTGTCATGTAGAAACATGTAATTTATGCCCCTGGATCAAGGTCCATTGAAGTCAATGGACTATAGATCAGCTCCTGTATTTCTTTCTGGCCTGAAAAGGGTATGGTAGGTGTGATTCATAAGGCTAGACTAGAAACATCTCTTTCTTAGGAAGAACTTGCCAGAGAATGGGATTATGAGCATTCATCTGAGACATAAGCAAGGGCATGGAAGGTGAATAAAGAAAGGAGTTCCAGCATTGACTCAAGATTATCCACTTCTAGAGACTGACTTGATAGGTCCTTGTCACATATGTTTGCTTCACTCAGTATAGATTTACATCCTGCCATTAAAAAGAAAGTGTGAATCCGCCAGATTTTAATAGAACACATCCTGATCTTCTCTCATTTAATGCATATACATCTGTATGCATACATCCACAAAGTTTGAGATGGTATAGGCTGTAAACCTGATTTCTGTTTACAGCGAGAGTCTCATAGTTTGCACAATTTACAGGACATGAAAAATCAGTTTTAATCCTCAGATGACACTGTAAGGATGCTGGAATTCCTATAGAGATGTGTGAACTGGATCTAAGATTTCCTAAACTGGAAAATGCCTTTTTTGAAAAAAAATCTAAAACTTTAAAAAAAAACCTAATTAATTTGTAATTTGAAATGAAACAAAACAGAACAAACTAAGTCTGCAGTGTTTATTCAGGCTGTTACTCTTATTTCAGCTGTGAAATATCAGAATGGAATTCATCTCACCCAACTTTAGCTACATAATTTGTTCAATAGCCTCAGAGACTTGCACGGAGACCTGTCGTGCATGTGTATGATGGGACCTGCAGAGTTTTAAGTAAACTTAGTTATGGCTAGAAGTGTGATGGCAGCATCATTGCCAGAGACAGAGTGCAGCTCCTGACAGGATGAACAGGACTGCAGAACTCCCACACGCTCTTGGCTCTGTTGCTTATGTGTAGAAGGAAGCCTTCCTCTTTTTGAAACTTATGAACTGGCATTGCTTGCTTAGCGTCCATGAAGCCAGACTTGGCAAACATTTCCTCTGCATGGGCATGCGTATCTCTGCAAGTTGTCCCAGGCACCCATGGGGGTAATGAAGAGAAACAGGACCAAGCACAAAACAAGAGGGAAACCAACCTGAGGGCATCCAAGAGCTTGTGGGTTTATGTTCTCTACTAGCAATACACTCTGTAAACACTAAAATTTAATTATATGTTCCAAGAAGATTATTTATTATGGTGATATAAACCAAAAAAGAAGTCTGTATATTTTTACATCTAGGTTTGCCTTTGTTAATTGAATTCTCTTTACCTTGAATCATCTTCATCTTTCAGATTAAAATAGAGTTGATCTTGGTACTGCAATCTGGGCTCCTTTTAGTGTGTGTTAAATGGATAAAGTACAGTATGTATGCTGAAATATTCAATAATAATTATCTTTAGAATAATTCAGCTCTATAACAACAATGAAAATGTCTAATATTTAATTACAGCTGGCAGTGAAATATGAATACCAAGTAGATTTAGAAGATAATATGTAACAGCTTGGCTCCCTCAGGAAAAAACATATCTCAAAGCTTAGCATAAATAAAACTCTGGGAGCTGTGACTCTGAGTAAAAAATCATTTATATGTCTGCCTTATCTTGTCACAAACTGCATGCCAAATAATTTCATTTAAAAATGTACACTTTAAAAAAGATTCAGTAAATGGCACTCTAGAAGAAACATTACACCACTGCTGGGAAATAAAAGCCATGCTTTCAAAGGACAGCAAGCAGTGGGGTTTGCTTTTTGCATATGACTAGTAAGGTACCACCTATAGTGCAAAACAGTACAGTAGCAAAGCCTTTTGCCTACACATTTTGTAGATTATGTAAATGGAAGTAAAATTTGCATTTATAGGGGAGAACGTGGGGCACTTGGAGTTGAGAGGCCAGATTCTAAGAGATTCTTCTGCCCTGGAAGACTGAGAAGATTTATCCTTCTGTGCCAAATATTCTCACACTTTGAGGTAACAACTGCTATGTTCCTCATGTTCACAGTGCTGCTCAAACTACTACACAAGTAGTGCAGTAAGCTCAATAAGCAACACTTGCAGCAAGATAAGGGTAAAGCGTACTGTCAACTCCGAAGACTGGTTCACTTCATGCTGTCTTAATTTATCTGATTTAGCATTTGACTAGTATTGTGATGGCTGATCTAGAGAAACTGTACACAGAGGTGGAGAGCTGCAGCACAGCTCTAAACAACTAGATTCTGTTCCCAGGCAAAATTCTTGTGCTTCCTTCCTTTCCCCTTCAAGCAACAGAAAAGCCTGAAGAAGACAGCACTGGTCCAAACCTGCCAGAAGGAAACCCCACGTCTGACTGCTCCTGACGGTTCTTCAGCAACTTCACCCAGATATATCTGAGAGAACAGCACTGATTCAGCAAAAAAGAGACAAATTTACCACTTTCCATTGTATCATACTTGATTACAGTTTGTAAGGAAATATTTCTATCTCTAGTCAGCAAATTTAGAAAAATGCTTCTCTCTTTGTTTTCAAAAATGTTTCTCTACTGATTCCTATTATTTTTATTTGTGCACGTGTGCCCATGTGGTTCCCCTTGTGTATCACTACTGATTGCCAGATACGTCTCCTCTTCAGATAGGTAATGCTGCAGAAGTTTTCAACTTGACTGTCTGGGAACTACTAGAATACATGCACTGAGTAGTCTTTCTCATATTCTGGGTATGTGCAGACAAGAAAAAATGTAAATGGCTTTAAGCAAGCAGTAGGTAGGCAAGCTGAGAGAAGCTCATTTGATCATATGGAGAATCATATTTAATGTAGTGGCTTGTGGATCTGCAGGGATTTTTATTGTTTTTTAGAAATCAAGTCATATGCCATTTTGTTTTTCTTCATTATTATTAATAGTGCTTTTTTCTTTGCTTTTAATTTGTTTTTCTTGTCTGTGTCTCCATCTTTCTGAATAATGGAGTAATGCTTCTATGCCAGTAGATAAAATATGCAGCAAGACATCACCTGTTACATTACTTTTTGGCTTTTATCCCGAGAAAGCTTGAGGAATCCACATAACCCATGTAGGCAGGGAAGTGCCATTATCTGTATTTTACAGTCAGGGAATTAGTCCAGAGAGCATAACCAGACTACATGGAGGCAACAGCTCAAATGTACAGCAGCCCTTTCATCACAACTGGGGAAATCTGTGGCTGCATCAAAGTGGAGTCCACCTGTGTGCCAGCACAGTGATGAGACAAGCTCAGGGAAGCAGGAAGCAAGTTTGAATTTTAAGGCCCAGAGGACACCAGTATGACACTAGGGACACAAAGAAATACTTAAAATAAAAGGTAGCATTTTCAGTTGCCTAAAGAACAGTGACCTAACCTGATGTCCTTTGCAACCACTGGGAGTTTTACCACTGGCATCACTAAGAGAAGGCTAATATAGAGACTTTGAAAACACAATTTAGTTTGACTTCTTAGCAGTACATAGGAGATCTCTAGAACAATTTGATGTCCCAGTTTCCTCTTTGCCTCTTTGTTAGCTGAATATGTTATCTACAAAGCACATTCATGCCCACTCTTTCCACCTCATTTTAGTGTAAACTAAAATCTATCAGGCACTGATGTCAGAGTCGCTTTATAAGTGTTCAGTTAAGTACAGCTGAAGCAACACATTGGACACTCACTTGGTACATGATTGTATTGTCTGCTTCATAATCTCAGGCAGTTTTCCAACTTCATTTGCTGGTTACCAGGCCAAAAACTTGTTGGATGGAGACCTTAAGTAACGATGAAAAGATAGTGCTAAAATGAAAAGAAGCAATCAATAAAATGAAATAGTATTCAGGCACTACTTTTGTTAGGGCAAATATAATGTTTTTCTTGGAATGGATGCTAAATACTCCTGAATAGGTTCACCCAACTGAGTTTGTTTATGCCTGGAAGCTAAACCTGGAAAGCCTTGGACTGTTCTTTTCGAAAATAAAGCGATCACAGTATAGTAAAAGGGTTTGAAATTTTTTTAATGAATAGCTGAAGTCCATGTGTTCTGGAGCTGATGGAATTAAAAGACAGAAAAACCAAACCACCTCACTGAGCTACACTGACATTTTTCAGGCGCTCGGTGACACAGCAAATGCCAGGTTTGCTT